ACACAATTTCTCGAATCTAATTCAACAATATGTGTATAATAATTGTATAGTAAAATCATATTAAATGAATAACTAAAAATTRAATAAATAATAATGACTAATGACTGTTACTTTTTTTACCATACTCACTATTGATATTTCATTAGTTATCTTTCTCTCAGTTTTCTGTGAAAATTACAGGTAATAGAGCCGAGAGCTGATATAGGCATAATAATGATTTGACTGTTGAGACCGAAAACAATTGTACGTAGTTTTGGTCATTTCTTCAATAGTTTTATCCTTATGGTTARGTTTTTAAAATGGTAGAAAAATGTTTTAAGCAATTAGTAAACTTTCTATTTACGTGGTACTTATTTAAACATAATTTTTGCCCGATACTAACCCGATACTATAATACCTAACTCGAAAGTAATTATCATTAAAAAATGTATTATTAAAATGTCTCGAATTTAAGAATTAAGTTTTGTAGATATACAATACGAACTTCCAATTCAATCATGTTAATACGAAAAATTTATATAATAAGTACAACGAATATTGATTTAATATTAATTAATTTAAGAAAATCAATATTGTCCGGTTAGGAGAGTCCTAATATTATTGATGGTTAAATTTTAGATACTTGAAACTGTAAACGATAATTTTTTTTTTTTTTGAAATAATAATACAATATACCTAATCACCTATGCGAACATCGTAAGATACATGTATTTTTAGTGTTCTTAAAATTCTAGAACTGACCGCATTCACGCCTTCCGGTAACGTATTTATCAATTTACCATTTCTCAGGATTTCAGTGGAAAATTAAATAAAATATTTTAATATTAATCACCAGAAAAACATCTGTCATCTACCTATTATAGTCAACGAAAAATATTACTTTTAATGCTTAGCTGATAAAGCATATGTAAACAATTTCACAGGTAGCAATAATATCTTGTTACACGTGACCATAATCAGTAATCACGTATAGGGTTGGGATATTTTGCTGCTCATAAAACTCACAAAAAATCTTAAAAAATACATTATAAAAATGTTTATCTTCCAGCTTAAAAAAAGGATACGACAGAAATGTGTTTACAATGGCGATTTTTTTTCTTGTGACCCTTTCAAATACTAAAGGCATTAGAATGGGAGCATTTTTATCGCTTCTTAAATTATTAGTTGATATGGAAACGGTGGTGGACGTGTATTCTATATCTACTACGTGTTTGACACTATCTGACCAYTATATACCCCAATAGTCCCTTGGTACCAACATTTACATAATATTTTTTATTAAAACGATACACGAGACGATACATTTTTTATATWCTAAAATCGTAACGTTTACTTCAAAAATAAATATTTAGAAATGTTCTATAGACTCRAAATAAAAAACACCCTAGAAATTAAATTTTTCAAAAAAATTCTGAATAATAATATCATTAAACTAATCAGGGTCTTCTAAAATGACTAAAGCAGAATCTTGATCTAGAAAAGACTTACACTGGATAAAAAATACCAGCCATAGTCGTTAATAATTGTTTAAGGTCTAGATGAAAGAAAAAGCTGACAACGTACAAAACGGGAGGAAATATTATAGTTGTATTTTCCTCTTTAACGGTTAGATATTAATTACTAATACTATTTATGTCTATCCAAACCACAAACATGTGCGTTTTATACTAGCCTTAYCTAAATAATGTATACAAGTATTAATAATATTAAAGTAACAATGTTAGATATTATTCAARTATAATAATAATATAGAATTACAACACGATAAGACAACTCGTAGTCACACACATGACATGATACATCAACCCGAAACTAGAGCGAAGCGGTAAACAGCAGTGTGGTTGATTATATTGTATATTATATATTATTATATTATGTATATATAATATACGTTTGCACGAGACGTAAGTTGTTTGTTTGTTGGGCATACGATCAAAGAATCACTCAAGATGTGATGCAAAATACTTAAAGACGGCACGAGAGCAATGAGATACCTATATACCAGTATGTATATACCTCACCATGTATGTATAGTATACACGCATAAGGTACACCTGCAAGCAACGCGTGTGTATAATCTTAAATCTAATATATTACGTATATTATTATTATTAATATTGTTATAATTCCGTCATTCTTATAGCRATTGCTGTATCTATTTCCGGTATACCGTGTATAAGTATAATTTATAAGCTTAATTTTATATATATATATATATAGAGAGAGAGAGAGAGAGAGAGAAAGAGAGAGACGGAATTGTC